GATTGGTTTGTTCCCATGAGAGGACTAGGATCTACTCAAGAGGTCAAGAGGTGATGGCTATTTAGCAGAGTTTTTGACATCTTGTTTTTTTTTTCTTCTTTTCCCTGAGCAGTTGTTAACCTTGGAAGAGAGTTCAACAGAAATATTTGTCACTGAGGCAGAAAGCAGGGAATGCTACTGCATCATACTAGTCTTATTTTATGTTTGATTGACACTTAAAAATTGTACATATTTATACAGTAAAATAAGATGTTTTGATTCATGAATGCATTGTGTAATGAACAAATCAAGGCAATTAGCATACCTGTCACCTTAAACATTTACCATTTCTTTATATGGAGAACATTCAAAATCCTCTCTTCTACTATTCATATGTATATAACACATTACTATTAAGTGTATTTACCCTCCTGTTGGTTAATGCATCAGAGATTACTCCTGTCTAACCACAACACAATACTTGTTGACCAACCTCTTCCCATTCTCCCTTCTCCCTCCCTATTGCCCTGGTTTGGTAGCCATTATTCTAGTCAACACCTATGAGCTCCACATTTTTAAGCTCCCACATGTGAGTGAACTCATGCAGTATCTGTCTTTCCATTTCTGGCTTATTTCATTCAGCATAATGTCTTCCAATGTATCTGTCTATGCTTTTTCAAATAACAAGATTTAATTCTTTTTCCTGTGTGAATATTTTTTCATTTTATCTATCTATCTATCTATCTATCTATCTAATATATACACACATATACATTATATATGCATACATTATACTAATATTTACATATATATCTCATAATATTTATTTTATATATATATATATATATATATATATCACATTGTTTTATTCATTCATTAGTTGATGGGTATTTAGTTTGATTCAATAACTTGACTATTGTGAATAGTGTGGCAGTAAATATGGGAGTTCATCTTCAACATATTGATTTCATTTCTTTTATTGGGAGCCAGAATCTCTGTTTTGCTAGGTGATTGCAATAAAGCCACCTAGCACAATATCTTTATTAATTTATGCTAGCACAGACACTTAGTTACCATATGTGTTTGAGTATGATCCTCATAAATCTTAAACTCCTATTGTTTTAAGAATGTGGTAGGAGCTAGGTGCAGTGGTGCATGCCTATAAACCCAGCAACTGAGGCTGAGTCAGAAGGATCATGAGTTCAAAGCCAGCCTCAGCAATGTGAGGTGCTTAGCAACTTAGTGAGACCTTATCTGTATATAAAAGACAAAAATAGGGCTGGGGATGTAGTTCAGTGGTTTAGTATCTCTGAGTTACCTGAATTCCATCTCTAGTACCAAAAAATTAATTAATTAATTAATAAAGAATGTGGTCGGTTTAAGAGAAAACATATTGACTACTAAGTGGCAGCCATTTGTCCAAATGTGAGCTCAATGTGGTAAAGAAACACGTATAACAGTCAGGGGTCGGAAAGGTGGCTTAAAAATTAAAACAAAATCCTTTCCCCAAACTTCCACCTAACTGCCATGGATCCAGCTGTTTAGGAACTTTATCCAAAAATCACTGTTCATTAGATTATTCTATATTTTATTGCAGACTTTGCTATAGACCTGAATGAGCTTCAGCACTCTAATTTTCTCACTTAGCAAAATCCTATCACTGTCCAGCTATTTCAATTTGAAGGAATATACAAAAAAATATCCCTTTATGTTTTGAATCCATCAGATTTCAGCTGGGTCTGAGTGTGCCAGTCTGGGCCTGGCAAGCCAGTGGGAAGCCTAAGACTAGGAGCATTTTCCTGGGGGCAGCCCAGGTTGGAGAAACTGGAGAGAACCCAGATCTCTCCCAATCAGCGAGTCCTGAAGTGTGCACAGACAGAGGGGGCCAGGCTTCAGCAGGTGGAAAGGCTGGAAGAGGGTCTGAGACATCTTATTATTAGCTTGCCCAGCCAACAAGTCTACCACCCATACTGGAGCTACCATCGCACCTCAGACACCTACCTTACCTATCAGCAGAGAAGGGAAGCTGTGAAACATTTGGACACTAATGGAAATACTTGTTGAATTTTCCATTGAGACTTTCTTTCCTTTTTGAGCTTTTCTCTTATTTTAAGAGTTCCAATTTGTCAAAGCTCAATTTCTCTAAATAGGTGTTTGTGGGTTTTGTTTATTTCTTTGTCTAGAATACAGATAAGTTATGAATCAGAGTTGGCACATGAAATTGTCTGAAGAAGAATCTTGTGAGAAAGCACACAGGTTACCTCTAGGCTTTAAGCTGACTTTATGCTGTTTGGCTAAAAATAAATAAATAAATAAAAGCTTGCCCTTTAAGATTATTTATCTCTGACATAATATGGTGATGATACACTGATTTGTTAGAAAAATAGGCACCTCTTTGCTGATAATGTGATTGATTTTCTTAATAAAATCACATGGTAATGTGCTGATACCCTTAGCGTGTTACTATTTTTGCAAGACACAATTTGCCCAAGGACAGGCTGTGGTCCCATAACTTGGTATGTGCTTATAGAATGATAATGAGTTGGCACTTCTATTACTACTTCTTCATGTCCTGCTTCTGTGAGTGGGGTGGTACTGAACAGTTGGGATATTATAGGTGTTGCTCAAATATGTTTATGTACCACGAAGTGCCTGGAGGTTATGATGGTCTTGGAATATATATATATATATATATATATATATATGTGTGAGAAATATATATTTACACATATATCCATATCCATATATGCATATACATATGTTTGTGTATATATTACATAGTAATATTTATACATTGTATATAATATTTCAGATTATACCAGGTACCATTTTATAATACACACAAAAAATAGCAAGCTGGATTAAATTTGGAGGATTAAAGGCTTATAAAAGAAAGACTTTAGGTTGAAAAAACATAATTCATTAATTTAGCTTCTTGATGACATTTGGGTAAAGTGCCATTTTTAGATGTTACCAGCAGAAATATTTTAGTCAATTTTCTTCATGAATGGAAGTGGCTGATCTCCTCCCTGCTAATAGGCAAGGTGCATATGCCTGTGTTTGTTTTAACCAGGACCCCCATTTCCACCACAGGAAGAATCCAAAGGCTATGATTGTCACCAAGGCTGTTTATAATGAATCCTTTTCTTCCTGTTCTTCTGGGGACATTGTAGTACTTCACTAAAATTTAAGTGTAGCTTTTGAGCCAAACACTACATGTATATATGTGTGTGTGCGCCTGCATGCCGGTGTGTGTGCAGAGAAGGTTCTGCCTCTTGGGCCTCTCACTAAAACTGACTTCGAGTAGAGCTCCCAGCTAATAGACCACTATGAAATAGAAAAAAGCCTTTCAAGCCACTGAGATTTGAGTGACTTCTCAAATGTCACTGTTTGCTAGAATCACTTACAGAACTTTTAAAATAAATTATTGGTTCCATGACCAGAGATTCTCAATTAGCAGGGGGAGGTAGGGGCTGAGAAATTGAATCTCTAGCAATCTGTCAGGTGATGCCAATATCACTAGCACAGAGTCACAAAGTCTAGGCTCTAAAGTGCAACAGCCTTAGATTATCCTGGTGTGTGTGTGTGTGTGTGTGTGTGTGTGTGTGTGTGTGTGAGAGAGAGAGAGAGAGAGAGAGAGAGAGCGCTCTCTAAATAACAAATATGTGTTGGTCATTAATTGGTCATTATTATATACCGGGTATTGTGATTCTTCACAAGAACCATAAAATTATATGCACTAATATCCTTTATTTTACAGATAGAATACCTGAGATTTAAAGAGTTTAAAACTATTTTTCATGGTGTTTCAGGTAGTAATCAGTGAAGCTGAATGTAAGTTAAAGGCGATCTGCTATTAAAGTCTATGCTTTTATAACTTTCTTTTTCTATTATTCAGACTGTATGGGTGATGTTTGATCACCTAAATGATGCTAGCTATCAAAGTACTATGTTCTGGAAACATATCCTCATTTAATAAGATTACATTGACTTACTTCTGTGTCAGGATCATCCAGGTGTGGAAGAAGCCACAAAACTAAATGAAGCACAAAAGCTTACATATGGATCTGCAGTCTATCAGAATGAGCATCTCCAAAGCAAGGCAGGCTATAAATGGCATAGAAGAAGAATAAACAAAGGGCAAACAGAGTTTAGAAAAGGGAGAGATTCCTTCAGGAGAATGAAATAGAATTTGTGAAATGGGCTATAAAAAGTCAGTCTTTACAGTAAAATGAGAAGGAAAGAGTACAGTCAGAATATTGAGCTGAAAGCCACCACTGAGCAGATTGGTTTGATCCATATTTTTTAATTGAAAAATATCCTTGGAGCATATTAATCCTTCTAAAGGTTAAATAATGGATGCATTGAATTCTACCAGAAGGATTAATTGAGGTGATGCTAGAGGGATGATGAGGAATTGAAAGTATTATGTAAATTTCCTGCTAGGTCATTTTCCTATGAGATAGCTAAATTTTATGGCACTAACAGTATCACATTCCTGATGACATTTCTAAGTAAATTTTTTAAATCCTTACTCAAGTTACTTTGTACTCTGCAGATATAATAGCTCATATCCTCAGAGAGTTGCACACTATTGGAAGTGGACCCTATGGATTATGATTTAAAATGTGTTTTGACCTTGGGTCAGTTTTAGAGAAGGAGCTTAGGTACCCCACACAGGAAAGGAATTAAATTTTCTCCTGAAGAAGGATCTTCCAGCAACTTGTGTCTTCCAGAAAATAACTGGCGCTTGGTAAAGAGCTAACACTTGCCAGGAATAAATGTAAGAGAGCTATTTTCTTGATGCTTTCTTCACACATACATGTCACAGTGAAGTCAACGTGTAAGCTGCCCCATAAATTTGATTGGACTTTGAATCTCACTTCAGAGAATCACTTGCTTGGGGCATGTCCAAAATGTTGCTTTGAAACTGCCAATAAAGCCGCTAGTTGGCCATCTATAGAGATGCTACTGTGAGGTACTAAGAATGACTTTTTTTTTTCTTTAAATCTTCTCTACAGGATTCCTCTATGCACTTCGACAACATTGCAATACCTGTAAGTGAAGACTATGTGAAAGCAGGTAAATTTCATTCACCAGAGCCTGAACACCACTCTAGTGAGCTCTCTGCAGACCCTAGAAATCTAATTCATAAATGGCATTGACTCTGCACTCAAACTAACTGGTTTTAGGATTTACATCTCTATCTCTCACTATGAGCAAGAAGAATGTTATTGCTGATGAGAGAGTTAGGACCTTCAATGGACTTTGTAGTTAGACCTTTATTCAAATCTGAGACCCTACTACTCACTAGCTGGTATCCCTGGATAAGCCTGCAAACTTTTCTGAGGCAAGTGCAGGGAGATCCAGGGAAGACCTGTTGGAAGTGATAGATGTAGAAAACCTGAAATAGGGAGAATATCCAAGTGCATACTGTTATTGCAAGCCTGCATCTGACAACATAGGATTAGAAGAATCTGATTAAATATGAATGTTTTGTGCTATAGAATCGGGAAAGAAACTTGATTTCATTGCAAGAAAAGAAAACAAAGAATGTTGATTAGTTTCAGGTGAGATTTGCATTAAATTATCTTCATGATTTTGTGCTCAGATGTGTATATGTTCAGTAGATTTTTCTGACTTTTCTGAACTTTCAAGGTTTCCATCCCTGTGTGAGATCATCACTTATCCTGTAGCATCCAATATCAGAATGAGAATGAGACCCATAGGAGGAGAAAAGAGAAGGTAAGAAAAGCATTTGTGTGTGTGTGTGTATGTGTATGTATATATATTTATTTATTTTGTTGTTGTTACCAAGGATGGACCTTAGGGGCATTCAACCAGTAAGGCGCATTCCCAGGCCTATTTATTTATTTATTTTCCATTTTTATTTTGACACAGGGTCTTGCTAAGTCACTTTGGACTTCTCTACATTGCTGAGGCTCGCCTCACAATCCTCCTGCCTCAACTTCCTGAGTAAATTTAAACTCTAAAACACAAGTGTGCATTTCTTTTTTATAGTCAAAATTTATAGTGAAATGCTTCTAGGTCCTAAGACTGACTTTCTTGATTGGTTTCAGTTTAGCATCTGTGGGGAGGTTATTGGAAGTTGGGAAGAGTCCTGACACTATTATAAACCATCTCTACTAGATAATTCATCAGCTACCCAAACTGTTGTCTTCTATAATCTTTGTAATGTGAGGGGATTCTTGTGATGATTGTATTAGACTCTTAGCCTCTTCTCATCTTCATTCCTGAACAAAGTAAAGGTTTACCTGGCCAGTTTGACTGTGAATGTTCCTCATGTGTGCCCCTTTAAGATCACGTTGCCCTTACCTCATCCCTTGAATGTTGGGTGACAGTGTTCAGAAGAGAAAATATAATGTCCACTAGCATGTCAAGTCATGGATTTTGTCATAAATGACACTGAGCCCCACGTCGTTACCTGTAGTGTTTGGAGTATTCACTGGGGTTTGGTTGCTCTAGGCCACTGGATAGTGGTAAATGCCATTATTTCATTCTTCATCATGGCTGAGTCGAACTTCATTGTGTATATATATCACATTTTTTTGATCCATTCATCTATTGATATGGGTTAATTCCATAATTGGCTATTGGAAATTATGCTATAATTCCAATATAATTTCCAAATTATGCTATAAACATTAAAGTGGATATATATATATATATATATATATATATATATATATAACTTTTTTGTAGTATGATTAAACAAATCAAAGACTTCTGAGAAATTAACATATCTTCCTCAAAGAAATTGTGATAGAAACGCTCTTTTAAAAAATAAAACAAAGAATGAAATATAAAGAGCAAATGGACTTTATTATGTTGAAGTTCATTCTTTCTAGACCTAATTTTTTGAGAATTCTTATTATGAAAGGATAGTCTTTTATAATTCTTTGTACTTGGATGATGTCTGTTGTAATGTCTCCTCTTTAATCTCTTATGTTGAGTTACATTACCTGCTTTATCTTCATCTATTAGGTCATATAATTTTTAAATTTTTTTTAGTTGTAGATGGACACAATAGCTTTATTTTGTTTATTTATTTTCTGTGGTACTGAGGATCTAATCCAGTGCCTCACATATGTCAGGCAAGTGCTCTACCACTGAGCTACAACCCCAACCCCTGGATCATATGTTTTTATGCATTCTGTTAATGTGGTATGTCAGATACACTGATATATTTACATTGAGCCTTCCTTGCATTGCAAGGATAAACCCCACTTGGTCATGGTTTATGATAACTTTAATATTCTATTGAATTCAGTTTGAGAGTAGTCTGTTAAGGAATTTTATTTCTGTTTCATGAGGGATATTGACCTACAATCTTTTTTTTTTGTTTTAAGTGTATTTATCAGACTTTGGTATGGTGGCAATGACGACTTTGTAAAATGAGTTTGGCATGTACTACACTCTTCAATTCTTTTGAAAGAATTTAACATTTGCCATAAATTCTTACTTTTGTGTTTGATAAAATTTACCAGTGAAACCATATGGTCCTAGACTTTTCTTTGTTGGGAGAACTTCTTTATCACTGCTTATATCTCCTTACTCATTATTGATTTGTTCAGTTTTGTATTTCTTACTGATTCAGTCTTGTTAATTTGCATGTATCTAGGGATTTATCCATAATGATTACCAACTCATTTATTGTAAATTGTTCAACAAAGTCTTTTATAATTCTTTGTACTTGGATGATGTCTGTTATAATGTCTCCTCTTTAATCTCTTATTCTCTTTAGGTTTTCTCTTTTGCTTAATCTAACTAAAGACTTGAAATAAAATGCAGAGGTGCTGGGTCATGCTGGTATGTGCCTGTAGTCCCAGCTATTTAGAGGATGAGGCAAGAGAATCTCAAGTTCAGACCAGCCTGAGCAGTATAGGAAACACAATGAAACCCTATCTAAAAAAATAAAAATAAGGCAAAAGCACCCTATGAGATGGTATAAAATATATGCAAGCCAGGTATTCAATAAGGTGTTAATAAATAGGGAACTCACACAACTCAAAAACAAAGCACATAGATTAAAAAATGAGCAAAAGGGGCTGGGGATGTGGCTCAAATGGTAGCGCGCTTGTCTGGCAAGTGCGGGTCGCTGGGTTCAATCCTCAGCACCACATAAAAATAAAATAAAGATGTTGTGTCCACCAAAAACTAAAAACTAAATATTAAAAAATTCTCTCTTTCTCTCTCAAAAAAATGAGCAAAAGACCTGAGTAGACATTTCCCCAAAGAACACATGAGAATGACAAACAAATATATGAAAAATTGGTGACCATCACTAATCATCAGGAAAATGGAAATCAAAAGAATCATGTATTATCTCATTATCTAAAACAGCTATTAGAAATAGTCAATAGATAACAAATATTGTTTAGAATATGGAGGAAAGGGAACTCTTATGCAATGTTGGTACAATGATTAAGGAAGGAGTATAAATTATACAATCATTAAGGAAAGTAATATGTACATCCTACAAGGAAGAAAAAAGAAAAATGAAAAAGGTAGAATACAATATGGTTCAGCAGTCCCTTTTCTCAGCATATATCCAAAGGAAATAAAATCTGCATGTTGAAGAGATCTCTGCACTCCCATGTTCATAATGACATTATCCATATGGGTCAATATTTGGAAACAACCTTAGTACTTATTGAAGTATGAATGGATGAATGTAATATGGTATAAACATACAACTAAATATTATTGTTATTCAGTTTTTTAAAAAAATAATAGAAACCCTGCCATTTGTGACAGCTTGGGTAAAATGATAGTATATTGTGCTATGTGAAATAAGCCAGACAAAGACAGATAGTCACAACATGATATCACCAATATGTGATATCTAAAAAAGTCAAGCTGACAAAAAAAAAAAAAAACAGTAAAATGGTATTTATTGGGCTAGTAGTGGAGGAAATGAGAAGTTGGTCACAGGGTACAAACTGTTAGTTATGAGGGTTTCTGAAGATCATGATGACTACATTCAATGAAAATGTATCCTGCATTGAAATTTGCTATGAGAAATCTTAAGTTCTAGCACAAAAAGAAAAAAGAAACGGAGGGGAAAGGTTAACCATGTGAAATGATGGATATGTTAATTAGCTTGATTATAGTTAAGTATTTCATACTGTTTATGTATACAAATCACCACATTGAACATTTTAAACATATATAGTTTTGTCAATCATAACTTGACAATACTGGGAAAAACGAAAAAAAAAGGGGGGGGGGAATGAACAGCATGTACTATATACAAAGGCAGCTGAAAAATTATGGACATTATTCATTTTTTAAAGCAGTTATTATTGGTTAAAGCTTCAGATTTCCTGGGATGATTTTGAATAGGATTGCTCAGATAGGTTGTCCATAACCTTTGAAGAAACATTTCAATCATGTTGTTTTCTGTCCTTTTTTCGCTCTTTTCCTTTCTTCCTGTCTTTTTCCTTCTTCCCTTGCTCTTTTTCCTTTTTCCTTCACTCTCCTCCCTTCTTCTTCCTCCTCTGTCTCCTCCATTTCAATTTGAGTAGTAGTAACTGACTTACCTTTACACCTGCTGATTCCTTCCTCAGGTCTTTGAGTCTTCTGATGACCTATCAAAGGCTGGCCTCATCTCGATCGTTGTATTTTTCACTTGACGCCTTAGTCTTTGAATCTATATTGCGGTTTTCTTCTGTGTGCTACAACTACCCTCACTTATACCAATTAAGCCTACGTCTAAGCAGACACCATGGCCCTGGGCCTGTGGTCTACCAGTGTTCCTGATACTCCTTGGATGTAGTTCTGGGTTCAGCATCTATAACTGGCCCTCCTCTTGTAGTAGTTGCTTTTTCTTTTCTTTTTTTCTGTGTTTCCTTCCTTCAGCTGCAAACCAGACTTTTACTAGCATTTATAGAGTACTAGTGTCTTTTACCCTCTGTATTAGTATCTTAAGGCTGCTATAACAAACTACCAAAGACTCGAAGGCTTAAATTAAACAGTTCTAAATGTTAGATGTCCATTATCCGTGAGAATATGCTCTGTGCAGGTTTTCTATGGAAAAATCCACCCATTGCCTCTTCCACCTTTTGATGGCTGCCCTGGACATCCTGGGTTCTGCCTTCTCTCTGCCTCTTTGTTTACATCACCTTTTCTTCTGTGTATCTTCTCCTCCGTGTCCATCTTGTAAACATTTATCTTATTGTGTTTAGGGCCCACCCAAATAATTCAAGATGAAGTCTTTCTTTCAAAACCCTTCATTTAATCACACCTTTTGCCATATAATGTAGTAGTCAGAGGTTCTGGGGATTAGGTCATGGATACACCTTGCTGTAAAATGACACTTTTCTGTTTTAATTTGCACATATCTGATTACTAATGAGATGACAATGTTTCGTTTTGTTTACATTGTTGAAAATTCCATTTAAATTTTTGTTTAGAAAGAAGAAACTTCGTAACATTTAAATAAACAATGAACTGCTGAGGAAGGCCATTTATTTAACATTTCAGGAGTTAAAAGGACATGGGCTAAATTGCTCTAGGAATATTTCAAAGCATAATTAAAAAATAATACTGGAATAAAAGGCTTCAAGTGTCTTTGAATCCTAAGTCTCTTAGGAACTTTAAGGCTCTTTGGGGTTACAAGACTGCATAGAAATAAGGTCTACTGTGTCTCAAATTAGAAAAATAAAATTCACTTTTAGATTTTGCCTCTGTTTCCTCATTTCTACTCTATTCTGTCTTCATTT